AACTCATGAGGAAGTGGCTTTTAGATTCTCAGTGCTGTGCTTTAACCCGCTGTGCCACCAGGGAGGGCCCGGAAGCCCCTTTTTACACACCTTGCTTCCATTGAGAATCCAGTCACTTCCATCCTTTTTGGCATTTGTTCTCACTCCTTGCAAATCACTGTTAATTGAAAGACAGGATGAAAATGGATTAACTGGTAAAAGTGGAGGTTGGAAGTACTCTGTGTTCATCTTTTGTATTCCTCCTAGCATACCCAGAGCTGTCCTGAGCAACTATTTGTTGTTAGGGCAGTGTTTCTATGAATTCAAAACCTACTGAATGTTAACTTACCTTCCTGCTCCAGGCTCTGTCATTGCAATGGCACCAATACATTTCCCGGCAGTCATCTGAGGGATGAAGCGCTTTATCTGTTCTTCTGAACCATAGTTTGCAATATAGGGCATGACAATATCTGAGTGAAGACTAAAACCGGGGCCTGTACAATTCGAGTATGCTCTTAGAAAAAAAAAAGAAGAAGAAAATTTAAAGCACACAGTAGCAGTTTTGTCCTGTTTTTAGCTTATATCTTCACTTAACAATAACAAAATATGAAAGGTCTCATCTAGAACACAGTGCACTAACAGAGTCCAATGATCACTTATGTGAGGAATTAAAAGACAAAATCTTTAAAGATATTCATCATTATTAACTATATTGCCTTTACATAGCAACATTTTGACAATTTACCTTTGCATTGGGATATATTCTAATATAGCTGCAGTTACTGTGTGAATTTTTACTTCACAAAGAATTTTTTCTTTTTAAATTATATGACATAGAAAAAAATCCTACTTCTTACATGGGCTACTGTAGAAATGAAATTATTTCTGATTTTGAATAGCACCTATTTTAACAACTTAAAAGAAGGGTATTCCATTTTTCCATATTCAAAAAATATGCAAGGGTATATGAGTGGTAGAATCTGTCACATTTTCTAGAGAACTTTCAATTTTACAATAGAATCAGAAACATTTTTAAAAATCATCTCAGAAAGTTAAGTAGTGTATTTTTTTTTAAGATTTATTTTATTTATTTATGCACATAAAAGCTGGGGGGGGGGTAGGTCAGAGGTGCAGGGGTGAGAGAGGATTTACCAGAAACAGAGTGGGGAGCATAACAGGCAGATCTACAAAGTACACTGCTCAGGGGAGCAGCAGGCAGGTTAGGAGAGGTCTGCTGCTCCATGTGGTTCAGCTCTCTGGCGTGAGAATGAATTTGTACTGCAGTGACTGCAGATAACTTCAGAGTGCTGGAGTCAAGTCTTCATACCACCAGGGAGGACCTGAGCAGTGTATTTAAAAACAAGACTTCACTTCAGACATGTTCATACTTACTGCTCCTCCCAGACCACAGCTGCTGAGTACAAGTCCCCACCGATCCCTCCATGGTTCTCTGTAATATTGACACCGAGCAGTCCTTGTTTACCAGCTTTTTCCCAGAGTTCCCTACTCACTTCTCCAGCTTTCTCCCATCTGCAAACAGCAAACATTTGGTAGTCAGAAAAATTTATTTCTTATTATTTAAATGGCCACAATTTGAATTTATGAATGATTTTGTGTAGGAAGTGTAATATATATGATATGATATGATATGATATGATATGATATGATATATGATATGGCAGTTATAGACACTGGCCATAATCTGCTACTTCCATCTTACTGTTTTATTATTTCTTTTCCTTCTTGTTCTCTTCCTGACTCTTCACATTTGTCATTTCCTTACTCACTCTTGAGTATTTCCTGGCCCTGTAAATATACATCCATTGATAAATGTGGCTGTAGTTTCTTCTGGCTGGTTTAATTGTGTCATATAGTTATAGAAATTTATACAACCTGTTCTGTGAAGGTGACTGATCTCTGCATACTTCTTTAAAGGTTAATTGCCCTCTGCATATTTCCTTAAAGTTAATTGCCCTCTACATAGTTCTTTAAAGTGCTGACATCATAGGAAAAGTATACATAAAAGCTAAAAAGCTAGGCAATCTTAACACAGTTCAAGTAGAAACAGGAGCATTTTATCAAATGAATGTCTGAAAAGATTAGATATTTGAATATTGTGCAACAACTGCATTTTTTTCTTTAAAAATGAGAATGACATGATAAAGAGATAACTACTTAGAAATACAGAATCTGAGAATTTTGCGCTTTTTAAAAATTTTTTATTTTATTTTTTAAAAAAGATTTATTTATTTATGAATACAGAACTGGGATACAGGCCAGAGGTGGAGGGGCAGTGAGAGGATTCACTAGAGACAGAGTGGGCGAAGTACACTGCTGAGGGGAGCAGTGTGTGGTTCAGAAGAGGTCTGCCTCACCATGTGGGTCATCTCCAGGGCTGGGGATCGAACTCTAACTGTAGGAACATATTTATGTCAAGCAAATTTTGGAAACCAAGCAAAATCCAGTTTTAATAAAAATTATACTTTATTGGTCAATAAAGTAATCAGTGATTAATCAAAAATGTTTCATACAGCGTGAAATTCCTATGACAGACAACTGCCTGAGACTTGCCTTATACTGGCATTTGAACTTTTATGTATTCATAAGCAGAAAAAGAACGAATATGGAATTGACTAACAGCTTTCAAACATGTTTTTTTAATTGAACTGCAGATTTTCAAATTATGTTTGAGTTGCATGTTACAAAAATCATTAAAATGCTTTGAACTACTTTAAAAATCTCATAATCTTAACAGTAGTATACTGAAGAGAAGTAAAAATGTTACTAAAGCAGTTAACACAGTATTTTTTTGTAGAACAGCACCTAGCATATCAGCAATGGTCCTAATTGTATTCTTAGTGTACATTACTTTACAGGAAAATGTGTCACTTACTCTGCGTGATGAGGAATCACTTCCTCTTGAAAAAACTTCCTCACACTTTCCCGGAAGATGTCATGCTCTGAAGAGAAGATTCTTCTAATTCCTATATCTGTTAAATTTTTAGCAGAAGGAGTTTCTAGACGTTCCTCTGCTCCTGAGTGAGAGCATCTTAAAATACACATAAAGAAAATTACATGAATTGTTATTCTTCAGTTAATGTCACTGAACTGCATGGATGATTAACTTAGTTAACAATAAGAAAAGCCTCCTCCTGGCGCCTGCCCCCTCCTCCAGTTACACTAAAGAATAAAATTTGACAAACGTGTTCAAAGTTGAGCCTCTCTACCCTTATAGGTAGGATAGGGTTTACCCTGTTTGGATGAGATTAAACAGTCCTTTACTCTTATTCAACTCTCTTTTCATTCAAATTCCATGAAAAGGACATCATTTATAGATCTAATTACAGATTTGAGTTCAGGTCAAACAGAGCTGTCACATGTTATGAATTAAATTTTGTAAAATTCAAATGATACAACAGAATAATACTGATAAGTTACCATGTATGATGTTTAAAATAATGCAAACTTTTCCAAATTAATATTTCAAATGGCAGGCACACAAGAGATAAACTAGATTGATCTAATGGCCACATTACAATCTGCATGTAAAGTAAAACCAAGATGTCTACCAACTGTAAGGATTAATATAGAAATTTTCAAGATAATCAGAAAATATCCCTTCCCTCTCCTGCCCCTCAGCCTAAGTTTAAAATGAGACTTCACTGTAGTTTCTCTAGTCAAGTCTTCACAGAGCTCCTTCCTGCTCCACAGTGGGTACTCCTGAGAAGATGTTGGAAATCTTTAACCATGTTCAAATTTACATCTAAAAATTTTTTTTAATCACATATTCAAATATTACCACAGGATTTTAAAAACAATGCTTCATTTTTTAAAGTTTTCTTTATCCATACAGAACTGGGGTACAGGCCAGAGGAAGAGGGGGTGAGAGGATTCACCAGAGACAGAGTGGGGAGCAGAACAGGAAGAATGATGAAGTACACTGCTGAGGGGAGCAGTGGGCAAGACAGGAGAGGCCTGCCACACCATGTGCATCGACTCCCTGGAGGGGGATGAGCTGCTGAGGTGGCTGCAGCTGGCTAGCTTTGCAGTGCTGCACTTTAACCCTCTGTGCCACCAGGGAGGGCCCCACAGGATGTTTTTGTTTTACATGAAATTAATTTTTGGGTTTCTCTCTTCCTTAGACTGTTTTTTTTTTCACTCTCCCCTTTTTGTTTCTGCCCCAAATCGACCCGTCTTGTTTATTAATAACTACATTTTTGTCAATCATTCTCCCCAGATGGGTTATTTTCTCCTAGCATATGTATCTTTTTTTAATGTTATTTACTGAACGGTGTCTCCCTAAATTCATATATTGAAGTTTTAACTCCCAATGGGATTTTATTTGGAGATAAGATGTGGAGGAAGTAACTGCACTTAAATGGCTCACGATGGTAGAGTTCTAACCCCAGAGGACTGGCAACCTTGTAAGAGGGAGAAGATCCATCTCTTCCTGTCCACACACCAAGGAGAGGAAAGGTGAAGACAAGGGGAGAAAGTGGCCATCCACAAGCCAGCAAGAGAACTCACACCAGGAATCACCCAGCACCTTGATCTTGGACTATCCAGAGTCTAAAATTATGAGAAGTAAAATTTTGTGGTTTAAGCCACTGAGTCTATTGTGTTTTATTAAGGAAGCCTGAGTTAACATACACTTAGTTCACATTTTGTGCCATTTTGCTGTAGGTTTATTTGTTTTTTCTTCAAAGATTTATTTATTTATGTATACAGAACTGGGGTACAGGCCGGATGTGAAGGGGCAGTGAAAGGATTCACCAGAGACAAAGTGGGGAGCAGAACAGGCAGATTGACAAGGTACACTGCTGAGGGGAGCAGTAGGTGGGTCAGGTGTAGTCTGTCACAATCATGTGATTTAATCCAGGGAGGGCCCCCTTGTAGCTTTACTTTTAACATGCAATTTTTAGTTGAGTTCTACATGCTAATACAATCTGAAATGCCTTTCAAGAGGTAATCTTCAGTTGTGAATATTTAATGTTATATATATATTTTTAATATGGAGAGGGCAGTTCTGAGGTTTTCATCAATGTAAGGCCCAAGTTTTGGCCAGGGGGCCATGACTAGAGAAGTATTTGACCTCATAACCTTCTGTGATGAGCCACCAGATCATCAAATTCATCCCCATTAAACTTATCAAGCCTCACCACTTTGGGGGATGTGAATTTTCTGGTGGCTAGGGATTCTGATCTTGGCCTATGTCAGCACTCAGTCCATGCTCTTTGTTCTGCTGCTTGGTGTGAATGGACACAATGACTTAGCCCTTGAGGATACTGGCCACTGCAATGGGATTTTCCAAAAGCTCCTTGCATACCTGTCTGGAGCCTGTCAGTCCTCAGCAAGGGACAACAGCTAGTTAATATAGATTACATGGATGGTTTGGGATATGAAACCCCTTTTTGCCACACTCTTTCACCATTTACTTCTTAGCACAAATATGGGCAGCCAAGGTGAGTGGAAACTCATCCATTATTGCCTTCTTCTGCCCCAGGTTAGCTCTGTGAATTGTGGCAGCAGGGACGTGTCTGCAGCCGCTGAACAGGATATGGCTCAATCTTACACCACTGGGTGGGGCAGCCGCTCCTGGCAATACCAGGAGTGCACAGAAAGGAAAGAGATACTAGATTTTATACTTGGTCTGCCTTTTGGCACAATAAATATTTTTCTGGTTACTACAGTCCAGGTAACTTGGGCTACAACAGTGAGCAAGCAAAGATCTCTGTCTTCATGATGACATTATTACTATTCAGTAATAGTAATACTATTCCAAAACAGGAATTCAGTAATAGTAATAATACTCAGTAATGCAGTAATAGTAGTACTATGCAGTAGTAGTAATAAATACAGCAAAGAAGCAAATTATATATTGTGTTAGAAAATGTTAAGTACTATGGAAAAGTGACCAGGGATCACCGTGTGGCTGGCTCGGAGACACAGAACTTGCAGTCGAAATTTGTGCAGAGTGGATTTAATCAAACAAATAGGCTTTGAGCAAACACAAAGCTAACAGAGTTAGCCAGGCAAAAATGTTATTTTTAAGTTGTATTTATTGAAGGAATGTTGATTTATAACTTAGTATGTATTGGAGTATAGATTGACACCTCTACAAATGTAAGCTATTTCACCATACACACGACCGAAGCCCCAGTAATCCTCCATTGGACCCCACAACCCTTGCTCCCACTGACCGTGCTCCCCAATTTGGTAGCCTTAGTCATAAGCCATTGTGCTCCTCTGCTACAGTTTACACTCCTCACCCTCAGTCCCCCCTCATCTCCTTCTGCGTGCTTCAGATCTAATTCAGAAGGGTGGGATGGTATTGCATATATTTTAGAAAAAGCAAGGAGACCAAATGTGAATAGAGTGAGAAAAATAGGTAAGGTCAGAGGTCATGCAGAGGAGACCAGGACACACAGAGGCCTAACAGACCACTGTAATAACATGTAGACTAACATTCACTGTATCCCATAATTGAACATAATTGAAATGATTTCTTGTTCATAGAACTAAAACTACTATGTACTCATTTATCCATATGGCTTTTTCAGAGTTGAGATTTTTACTCAGAACACACATGAGCTGAGACTAGAAAACTGAGGCTCACAGGCACTGAAACTGAGGTTGTAAGGCCGTTAAAATTCTTAGTAAATAGTAAGAGCAAAATTTACATTCAAGTCTGTGTGTATCTTAAAATTTTAGAACCCATATTATGTTAAGCAACTTTTGGAAGATTGCTAAGTAAAATATATTGAGGCACAAGAAAATGAAACATGCCAAGGAAAATAGTAGGCAAGAGAGAACATAGAGATTGAAAAAACCTATCTCTATGCACTTGGCAGCAAATTTGTGGGAACATCCACTTCTTACTTTAGACACCGAAAAGGCCTAGAGGCCTTTTTTGCCTACAAAGACGAGCAAATCCGTACTGAATAAATTGTCCATTATTTTCCTAACGCAATAAGCAGCTACTAATCTAATACCTTAATTATTGTTTTATTTTTAAAATCCTCATTTTATTATAAATGATGCACATGTTCATTAAAGTTTAAGAAGTTGGTTACAGTCAGAGTAGAATGCCTACCTAACCTACTCACTATTTTGTAAATGAGAGCAGATTTTCTTCCTACACTGGAATCAAAATATCTCAAGAGACTTAATGCAGAAATAGATATGAGAATCACGTTGTTTTCTATTCAGTCAAACAAGTGTTGGTGAGAATGTAGAGCAAAGGAAACCGTCTTACACAGTTGGTGGAAATACAGACTGAGCCAGTCCCTATGGGAAACAGTTTGGAGTTTTCTGAATATGCTAAAAATAGATCTATCATCTGACTAGCAGTTCCATAGCTAGGTATCTAATGCAAAAGAATTAGTACTGAAGAATGCAAAAACACTAACTTGCAGGGACACATCCACCCTTCTGTTCATTGCAGCAGTATTTACAACAGTCTATGGAAACAACGTTGGTGCCTATCCCAGGTGAGTGGATTAGGAAGATATAGTATATAAATGCAATGAAATACCAATGAGTGATCACAAAAGGTCAATTCTATGCTGAGTGAAATAAGTTAGGAGGACAAAGACAAAGATACTGGATGTGGAATTTCACTAGTATTTGGAATATGAGACACAAAACAAAGGGTCAGTTCAAACCAAACCCTAGAAATCTGACTGTAGAGTCAAGGCTACTGGAGAAGTAACAATGGATTGTGGTAGAAAACTATGGGCACCTTGGTGGTAGGTGTGGTATAGTGACATCTACCTAAAGGGTGTGATCCTGTATCCCTCAATCAGATATTTTAAGTCAATACTGCTACAAAAAAAAAAAAAAAAGTACAAATATAATTGTCTCCCTTACCTTGGAAAAGGTCTATTTTCCTAAATAATGTTACTTATGTTAATTTGCAATGAGCTTATTACTGTACTATTTATTAGTCAGATATATTTGACATATAACATTTTATTAGTTTCAGATGTATGATACAATGATTGCCTATTTCTGTATGTTGTGAAATTATCACCACATTAATCTGATTAACATTTACCACTAAACACAATTACAATTTTTGTCTTGTGATCAGAACTTTTAAGATCTACTTTTTTAGCAAATTTTAATATACAGTATTCTCAACTATGGTCACCTTGCTGTACATTATACTCTCATAACTTGTTTAATAGCTGGACATTTATACCTTTAAACACCCTTCACTCATTTTGCCCCACTCTCCCATCAGCAAATTCTCCTTTGTATCCATGAAGTTTTTCATCTACATGTTTTTAAAAATTCCACAAAGTGAGACTATATGTTTGTGTCTTTCTCTGACATCTTACTTAAAATGCCTATTAAATGAACTATATCTTACAATTGTGTTTAATAGATATCTACTGATGTCCTTGTGGATAGATACAATCCACATAAGTAAAAATCTGTTCGGGAGGAGGGAAGAGGGCTCTCTAATTTTAAATGCATAAAGGAACCCATACCCAAATATTTGAGGGTCACTATTTTACGAAACACAGTAGACCAGTGAAAAAGTATGTAAATCCTAAAGTCAAGTCACCTCCTGGCTAAATTTTCCTCAACTTCTTTTAGCATTTTTGTCTTCCCACTTCTATGGTGCCCTAGAGTACCCCAATTACCTAAGTAGTAAAAGTACCATATCATTAGCCAATTTATCCGCCTGTCGCCCTCACCAAATAGTGACTCCTTCGGGCTCGTCTATCCAATGAATTAATTTTATGTGTCAGACGGTATCTGAGGCTTTTGATTTTAAAACACTAGTAGTCAGGAGATCACTTAGAAACTCCCTCCACTAATTCTTCTGCATTTACTAGGTCGTATGTAGGATCTGTGACTACATCTTCAGTTAATTTCCTCTGTCGGGCTGGGTACTTCAGGATTTTCTTGTCTGGGCTGTCTATCCTGGGCCTTCTGAGATAGCACCTCTGCAGGGTGTTTTTACCCCCAAGTCAGGGATGAGCATCCTACTGCCCAGTTCACCATTTAATGCCGAGTCTGACCCGGAGCCCATATTCCAGCACAGTCCAAGTGGACCAAAGGTCACAGCTCGATCTCTTCTAACAGTTGCCATGAGTGACCACCCGCCTGCCTATTGCTTCACGGGAACTCTTCCTGACGTAGGCCCCGATACCCCCCACCATCCCCCTCAAGCCTCAGAGCCAGAGAGGCAGGACTGGGGCCCCTAAACTGTGGCTTTTGCCAACCCCATCCCTCTGATTTCCCCCGCGGTGTGGGAGACACCTCCAAAGTCCCCGCCTTGTCCAAGCGGGTCCTACCCAAGTTCCGGGAGATCCGGGGCGAGGCCCAGCCCCCCTTTGATCGGCTCCCGCCCCCCACAGCCCTGCCCAAGCAGGCCCCCACCACGTTCCAAGCTCCGGAGAAGGGTGGATGTTGTCAACTCAGT